CAAAAAAAAAAAAAAAAAAAAAAAAAAAAAAAAAAAAAAAAGAAATAAAAAACTTTAGAGGAAAAAGAAGAGGAAGAGGAAGAAAGAAAAAGGAAGTCCCAAAAAAATGATTTAAAAGCATTGCCTTTCATTTCATCCTACTTGCTCTTTACCCTTACCACGCATATTCCTTCTATTATTCTTTTCCGTTCTTTTCATACTTTTGGATATTAACCGTCTTAATATGTTACTTATTTGTACTAAATTTATGGTGTTTAAAACAGGTCCATAAAAGAAAAGAAAGATTTTCACACCCTTATAAACAATGGATTGTTCTCCTCTCCAACTTTGATCAGGTAAAATTTCGATCACTTTTATTTTGGAAATCTATTTTATAATCACCAAATTGAAGAGCACCCCATGAAAATCCACACAAAAATAATTGTCTGGTGGTTGCCAAATTAAAATACCAATCTTGGTTGGTCAAGGAATATGGCCCAACACATTATCATATAAAAATAGATCACGCAACTTACTTAATTTATGTACAATAATTAAAAAAAAAATGTTAAATTGAAATGAACTTTTTGAAATACTATTTTAATTTTATATTAAACGATTGAATTTATGTTCCAATTTCACAGACAAAATTGGATGGTTAGCTAATATATTTTTTAAAATTGAAAAAATGGTATATAATAATGTTGAGAGGAAAAAAAAGAAAAGTATTTAATCAGTAATTTGTGAAGCATATTCCAGCGTTTGTGAGTTTCATAATCATCTTTACAGTATATGTTTTTTTTCAATATATAAATTAATAATCTCATTTTGATTTCCAAATCTTGTATTTCATTGGATTCCATCATAAATGGAAATAAGCGGTCAAATTAATATCTATATTACACTAAATAAAAATATTAACTAAACTTCAAGGAAGGAGCCTTCTTGTATTCAAACTGATCCGGTTGTTATTAAATTTTAAAGTTTTTAATTATACAATTTTCTTAGTTCAAATTCCTAATGAATTTTAATCAATTTTAACTTTTTCAATAAAAAGAATGTAATTAAAAATTATTAAAACTTTCTCAAAGTTTAACCTATAAACTTTTGTGCATTTCAGAATGCCCTCAACTTGGGAGTTTGAATTATCAATAAAAACAAAAATCTTAATCATTATTGTTTAATAAACATAAATTAATTGGTTCAAATATATCTACTTTCAATCATTTACTTTAATCTACTAGGTAAGTAAAAATAAAACTTGAATAAAAATTACAAAAAACATTCAAACTAATAAATAAGCATTTTATAATTAAATGAGTTAAAATAACTTTGTATGAAAATGTCTGGTTAATTCTTATATTAAGTCTACAAATTTACCAAAAAAAAAATAGAAAACGACAATGGCTACATAATAGAAAGAATAAATGAATAAATGACAAATGACAAATGACAAATGACAAAAAACGTGAGCGGCAGGATTCGAACCTGCGCGGGCAGAGCCCACATGATTTCTAGTCATGCCCGATAACCACTCCGGCACGCCCACCTGTTGTTACATCTCGGAACGAATGAGTATTTATACAAATATAAATAAAAAGGATCAAAATTAAGTCTCATTTTTATATTAGAAAAAAAAGATTCTGGAATCTTTGGTGGGGCCCAGTGCTGTACAAAACAGATCACGAAGATTAGTGCGGAATCCTGGAGGAAGCGACTCTATGACATTCGCACTTCATTTATTTTATTATTTCTTTTCTTAATAAAATTAAAACTCAAAGTTACATTTTTTTTCCCTAAACAAAGATTAATTTAGACTTTCTACAACATTTCGATTTATTTTTAAATTAACATGCATGATTTTATTTAAAGTGATTAGTAATAATAGAAATTTTAATTTTAATAAAAAAAGAAGAAGTAAGTTTTTAAAATTTAATAAGACCAACGGAATTCACAAACTTTTAATCAGAAAATGTTAAAAAAAAACTTTATTTGACCTTTCACAGAGGATTCAGCTGGAAGATATGGCCTTTATATATAGACTAATCAACCAAAAAAAAAAAAAAAAAAAAAA